CTAACACAGCAAGAACATAAAAAGTGTCCTACTGGATTGGACCCATAGCCAACTAGTCTAGCAGTCTGTTCTCACAATAGCCAAACAATTGCACAAGGAAGTCCACTAGTCTTCCAGAAGATGGCTTCAAAAACAGTCATACTGTCATCAAGACTAATAGCCATTGATACTAATTTCACATGCAAAATTATACTGCCCAATGATCCAGTGTTGTTAAGATACACACTGAACACCTCAGGCCACCCTAAACTGAAAACTGGTATTGCTCTTGCCCCCAAAGGGTAAACAGCCACAAATGAGATTTGATTGCTATCAGGAATGGGAACATCTGGGAGAACAGCTCAACCTGCTTATCCAGAACAGTTTGTGAACTTGCTTCCCTATGCTGATGAACCACAAACAACATCTTATTTCAACAGGAAAAGAATCTCAGCTTTTTTCACACAGGGTAAAGGATGATTACAAGTGCTCAATAACTTTTCTCATAGGTGGGTATTGAGTGGCCTTGAAAACAACAAGAGAGACACCCAAATAATGCACTGTTGCTGATCTCAAAAGATGACTCAAACTGTGCTTTATACCTACCAATGGCAACTGCAGAAAAGGACATCAGCGCGTAATGTTTCTAAAATATCCAACACCTTGCATATGCACAATTTTTTTCTACTTTTCATTTGGTATGTAATTCTCTACTATGGAACTGTTGTATATCCTAATGTCTAACACCTAATGTCAATACAATAGAGGCAGTGAATACCTCAGTGATCATCTTGAAAAACACTTTGTAGAACATTATGGATTTGGTGAAGTACTCCTACCAGAGAGGGCTCCTCTTTTCTGTTGGATTCTTTCATGTATATAGTGAATTGGGAACTAGGGTTGATTTATCCTTTTTGACTAGACTGGGGGATGGTCCTATCCATGTGCTAAATGCTGGGTGTACACACTTATTGGTTCTTAAAGAAAGGAAAAGAAAGCACTGGAAAGGGGCTTCATCCTTCTTTAGAAATGAAACACAGGCCTGGATTCACATGTATTCAGGCTAAAGTTTGGAATTGTTAGATCAACTAGTAGCGGCAGAAATAAGTAACAGAGAAAGTCTGGCAGTTTATCCTATCTTACAGAGTTGAAGATGCAGACACCACTATCACAACCACACCCAGGCAGTCACAGGTTAAAGCTGACACCAAACTCTCATATATATTATTGCTTGACTTTTAGTTGTGATTTCAACTATGCCCTAATAAAAAGATTATTCAGTAGTATCAATAAGACTACTTCCTAGATCTTCTGAATATTCAATGTTTGCTCCCATACATACCTATTTTACTAATCAGGAAAAGAATAAAAATTATGCTTTAGTCAGGGGTGTTGTGCATAGATTTGGAGTGAAGGAAATGTAATTGTCCAATTCATTTATTTATTGAGATGTCCTTCTCCTTCTTATTTAATCCTTTCACATTTTTACCTGAAGTACTTTTCCATGGCTCCTCTCTTTTTTTTCTGCTTTCCCAAACATGCATGTTTGTAATGATACTTATACCATGAGCTTTTTGGAAGTGGGTGAGTAGAGAAGCAATATTTTCCATTTTTACAAGAGTATTTAAAGCATAACCCATGGACTGAGCTCTATTTATTTCTGAAAATTTCTTCCTGGGGCTACTCAAGCTCTGGGGTGAAGCCTAGAAGTTATAATAAAAAACATTTTTATTATAGCTTCTAGGCTTCAGCCTGAAGAGAGGTTATAGTGGCTGTGCCTGAGCGAGCAGCAGGTACCAAGACTGGAGTCAGGATAGAGGAGGTAAGAATGCTGGGAATGCCATAATAATAACTTAGTTCCATAGAGTAGACTAATTTCCCTGGAGAAGTTCTGTTTCTCCTGGAACTGATACTGCATCTAGATCCTGCCGCTTTTGTGAAGAGAAAATATAATTCATCATCCCCAACAATCCCCTAAGAGTGCATGCTAGCTGAGGAGTTGAAGTCCACTCATCTTGAAGCTGCTGAAGTTGAGAAACACTGACCTAGTGAATAGATCTGGCTCATCAGATTCTCTCCTTCCCTTTGGAAAATGTATTTTCTCCTCTGGACTATGCAGATACTGAAACCAATTCTTACATTTGCACGATTACTTCACACAAAAGAACTTAGAACTGTACCATATTTCTATAGCAAGTACCAGAGAAACAGAAATATTAAAGAACTAAGATATTGGTCAACATTATCCACAGTGGGAAGATATGTGGCACTCCGGATCAAACTTACTATAGCAATACATTTGATGCATCATAAGTCTCCAAAGAACCATGTAAATTCTGCACTAAATCTGGGCCACTTTTACTGTATTTGGATTATTGTAAATGAGTTTAAAAACAATCCATCCATTAAATCTTCATACATGAAGAAGTGCAAAAAAACTTCAGCAATACATACTGACTGGGATTATTCAGTACTTAGAGGTGCTGATCTAAAGTAACCCACTTGAGGGAGTAGCTCTAATTTTAGGCTGATAATGCTAGGCAACAAATAAGAAGGTATATGGGATGGTATAGGTTGTCCTGACTCCATTTTCTTTTTTCTCGCCATTCTTTTGTGTTTGCATTCTGCAGGCACCCCATTTCTCAGCTTAGAGAAAGGACTTACGTAACCTGGCTCTTTACAGGAACTAACATCAGCATTGTAAGTTACTTTGAACCAGTCTTCCAAGGTAAATAGAAGACAAACGTTCCAATATTAGTCCAATATTTTCCTAAATACAGTTGGACAACATGCATAAGCTAGTCCTGAAAGGATACATGTGGTATTTTGCAAAAGATCATGAGGACATCTTAAGTCAAGCATAATTTTAACTACATATTGCCCATTATGCTGATCTGGCCAGAGGAATCCTTCAGTCTTAAAACGTAGTTAACTCTTCAAGTTCAAAATATCAACTGTGTTAGTCATAAAGAAAATATAAGTTATCAAAGCACAGTACCATCTTGTGGTAATTAACAGTATTATTCCAAAAGCAAGCCTGAATGAAATACTAGAAATGTTACCATTTGAAACAGTGCACTTAAAGCTGTGAAATATTTATTTTTCCAGTTTTGGAAACAATAAATGCCATGAAATTGGGGCGGGGGGGGGGGGTTAAAAAAAAAAACACAACTATTTCAAATCACATTTTCTAAAGAATAATATTTGGTCAAATGCATAAAGCAGTCCAAATATGTACTACATTATGAATTTGTAAAAATATATATGTTAGCATTGCAATTTTAAATACCATTATGTATAAATGCTAGCAGACACTTTCTAGATAAACTTAAAACTGAAATCCTCCCCTCATTCCAGCTCTACAGACAAGGAACCATAACTCTAAGATTCTTTTAAAATTATTATTATTATTAAGGTTTCAAAACATTGAAATTAATATGTGATATTATACAGTATATAAACTATATAACTATATTATTATTTCATTAAATGCTAAATTTTAAAGGGAAAAGCTAATCAATTATATAGTAAACTTTACTGTGAAGAAAAGAAAAAGAAAAACCTCTATACTACACTATCTAAAGGGTAGAAAATAACCAAAGAGTGGGGGAAAGAAAAAGAAAGGGAAAACACTCTTGAAAACAAAGAAGAAAAATGAAAAAAGCAGTATTTAAAAACAATAACTAAACAACAAATCAACCCCTGTATGTATGTATGTATGTATGTATGTATATACACACAGAAATACTATCAATCTTCTTTAAAATATTGAAGTAGACCAACATAGGCACTGGTGTCAAATTCATTTTCATAATATTAATTCTTCTTATCATCCCTCTCTTAATATCCTCTTTCATCTGGGCAATATATTTTCAAATGTTCTTATCTACTAATCTGGATTTTTCCTGTGGGTGTACAGTAGCTTCTGGACAATATATAAACCCTAAACAGTTGTCAGAACATTTTTAGCATAATACCTGACTTACTCCAATTTATTTATGTGTTTATACCCAGAATATTAACCATATAACTGTACCTTCTACAATTCTAAGTAAAGATTTTGTATTTATTGGGGAAAAAACCAACTACGTCCAACATCTTATATTCAAATTCAGCTACACAAATTCTCCAAATTCCATGAGTTTGTCTCATTAGGCATGCCAAAAGTTCCAAAACCATATTAAAAATTAGAGGAGACAGACAATTTTAATTAGTGGTGAAGCACACCCATCAGTAATTGCATGAGCTGAAGGATTCATAGGAAAACTAAGCTTGCAACATTTGAATGCACCATTGGGAGACTTGAAAGAACAAGTTACAGATAGATTGTCATGGAAAAAATCTATGTAGTCGCTAGGAGTCGAAAAATGACTTGATGGTATATAATCAAACAATCAATCAACTTGCAAGATGGGCAGGAACTTTACCAGCCTTTAAAATTATAGTGATAATAGTATGACGCCAGCAGGTCCTTATAAGATGACAAAATCGTTCTGAAAGTGTTTCTACTTCAAATTTGTTTACCACTCTACAGTGATTCCATCTGGTCTAGGAACTTTTCTGTATCATCATATCAATACTATCACATACGTTAAGGATGCAGCCAAATCTCTGAAATTTCTGAAAAATTTATTATATTCAAATAACTCCGAAGATTCTGCAAGCTGGAGGCATGACATAGCACAGTGAAGATTAGTCTACAGAGCGAACCCATAAATCCTTTCAACCTTTTTTTTCCCCTAGGCTTTGTTATTCCATTTAAAAAATTACCAGGGCGATTACAGTAAATCCCTCATTATATTTTGAACTACACGAACCATTAAAAGAATGGGAGGCCCTTCCTTCAGTCATCTTCCCTAACAATGGAGGACTACATCCCCCAGGATTCCACAAGCCCGTTCTCATGAGACTATTGACAGCCGGGAGCACTAGCTTCCGACGTTTGTGGTATAAGCGCCCCGCGGAAGGCACATCCGGAAATTGCGTAGCTTCTCTCCGGAAGTAGTTTCTTCGACCTTTTCTAGGAGCCGGTGTGGGAAAAGGAAACGGAGAGCTCCTTTGCTCCACGTGCAGAGAGCTCGCGGGCATGGCTGCCGTCGTCGAGGGCTTGCTGGCGCGCGCCGAAGAGCGCGAGGCGGAGACCCAGCGCAGCGTGGCGGTGCATAAGGAGCTGGAGTTGGACTTCGACGTGGGCAACTTGCTGGCGGTGGACAAAAATCCGGCTCCGCGCGCCCTTGCGCGAACCTCCTCGGAGCGCGAGGCTCTCCTGCGCGCCTTGGCCCGGGATAACACTCAGTTGCTGGTGGGCCAGCTGTGGGCGCTGCCGTCGGAGCGGGTGGAAGGGGGCGCGGGGCCCGTGGTGGCCCGTCTGCCTGAATCCTCGACGCGCTTGCCCAGGGAGAAGCCGCTGCCCAAACCTCGGCCGCTCACCAAGTGGGAGCAGTTCGCGCGCCTCAAAGGTATCCGCCCGACGCGGAAGAAGCGCGGCACGCTGGTCTGGGACGAGGCCGCCAAAGAGTGGCGGCGGCGC